GCCGGGGTCCAGCGGGGCCGCCGCCACACCGTCCGGTCCGCGCCCGCATGGGCCTGGCGGAGCCATGGCCGCCCTGTACCAGAGCGCGGACCCGTCCGCCTCGGCCTCGCCCAACAAGCTGCTGGCGCTGAAGGATGTGCGGCAGGTRAAGGAGGAGACAACGCTGGACGAGAAGCTTTTCCTGCTGGCCTGCGACAAAGGTACCRGCCCCGCCGCCCGGCCCGGCCCTCCTCCAAGTCTCGGCCTCTCGCTCCGAGGGCCCGAACCGGGGCCGGGTGTCAGCCCTGCGCTGGCCTTCCCTCGCCCCGGGCTGCGGGTCCGCCGCCTCCCGCTGGCCCCTCAGCGGGAAGGGAGACGCAGGGCCGGCTTCTGCCTTCGTGAGAATGTTCGGTTGGTGTCGGGGGAATTTGGAAGGTGTTCGCTGTTAAAAGGGTCTTAAATAGAGAGCTGCTATAAAACCGGGAGTTGTGTAGACATCCCCTGGATAAGCGAGACCACTATCCTGCGATTTGCACCATTGGTGACGGAAGAGGCTTTTCTTTCTGAAATATGCTGCTTGCTTTAAGCCTATATTTAGTTGTCCTTGAGTGGCCTTAAATGGCCTTAAATCAAACTGATCTTAACAGGTCTGAAAGGCTGGACTCCGAGGTGTGCTTTTAATGATGTGTAGCACGGCTCTGCGTGCTTGGGACATAAGCATGGCTGGTGTGTTTACAGGCAGAGCTGCGTGCTGGCCCCGAGTTTAGATTAGCTCACAGCCACAGGGGTATTTCTGCAGTGACGTTCGCCAGCGAGTTTAGGAATAGGAACCTTGCTYTGGGGCTCTCGGTGGTGGGATGCCTTGCTGTAACGCAGCCGGTGCAGTCTGTCCTGAACATCAGAGGAAGCCTCGGTTACCTCTCATTGAGTATGAACAGAGGTTCATATTTTCTAAAAGGCTGCATGACAAAAAATGTAACAAAACCCGTTTGTCTGTRTAACAGCTGGTTCAGTACTCTTGCAGGCTTGTTATGTATTTTACTACACGTGGAAGTATTCTACATATACTTCTGTAAGTATTCTGCACCAAGGTCTGTCTTGGTCATGGTCCACTATGTTGCAAAGTAATTTGTTACCCTAGAGACAGTTTTGAAAAGTACCYGTGCTTTTGTGTGTGGGTTATTTTTTAGGACTGGAACTAAATGGGTGGATTAAAGTACATATCTAGTGTTTTCCTGAAAAGAGATCTTCTAAAATATGTTTAGTTTCCTCCCTGATGAGCGAATGCTCATCTACCTTGACTTTTTACTTATCTGGTACGCTCAGTGTCTGTTGTCAGCAGTGGAATATTGTCTTGTTTGATGGTGACTGGTACTTAAAATGTTCACATGCTTTTATTGCTTTATAATATGAAGTGATATTCTTACTTACTTGTGCAGGTGACTATTATATGGTTAAGAAACTCTTAGAGGAAAACAGCTCAGGTGAAATGAACATAAATTGTGTGGAYGTGCTTGGACGAAATGCTGTTACCATAACTATTGAAAATGAAAACTTGGACATACTACAGCTGCTTTTGGATTATGGCTGCCAGGTATCCAACACACATGATTAAAAATGTTCAGTGTAGTCATGTATGTTGTTTGTTAATCTGTCAGAATTTGGAAGTAAATGCTGTCTGCCTTTYAGCCAGTTCAGTTATTTTTCCAGCAAACTGGAAAAAGTAATTGTGAAAGTGGTTTATTCTCACAAGTTGACTTTTCTTGTGGGATTTTATTGGCGTGGCGAATGTATAAGTAACATTTTCTATGATATTAACAAGATTGAATTTTATTTTAAATGTTACTCCTGTTACACGCTTCTCCAGCTKTGGAGCATATTAACTTTTAAAATGGTAACACAGAAACTTAATGTTATATTAGTTGATTTTAAGCTTAAGCAAGCATGCATTTCTGCAGTGCTTTTTCATTAAACTTCATCTGTGCTTGTTGGCAACTGTGTCCTTAACTGTATGCCWCATCTCTGCTGCTGCTGGGAGAGGTGAAGCCATGATGGCTTAAATATGTAAAACATTTTTTTTACAAATCTTTTGTTACATTGTTTGATATTTGGCATGAATAAAACCATAAGCTTTTCCCTCTGTGAATCAGTGGCAATAATAAAAGCTGTGTCTTTTTATTTTCTTTTTTTTTTAAAGTAAAAATCTGAATTTTTGGAAATGAATCAAAAAGAATAATATCAACTGTAGGTAAAATGAAAATCTGCTTATCTCATCTTAATAGAAGGTGCAGAAGTGGTTGTTTATCAGCCAAGAAGGAGAAAGGTTATTTTCCTAGCTGTGCCCCAGAATTACAAATGCAGGGCTGAAGATTCCCACATGCCTGAGCTGTGTTACACAAACACTTTCTTTTAACACGTCTAATAATCTGGTAAACTGTGTCTTTAAACTTGATTTTTGCAGTTTTGTATCGTCTTTGCTGGAAAGTAATTTATGCARTTGATTCCTCTGCTGTTTCAACAGTGAAATAAACTGTCAGTAGTGCTATGTGAACTCCTGCAGTGGCAGCCTGAATTTGTATCCTGATCATATGCTTGGTGATAATACAGATCATCATTTTAGTACTTTAAAAATAAATTCTAATAATATATTTTTAAATGCAGTTTGTCTTGAGTTTGACTATGTTGTTTAAGTTACTACTGTTTTCTCTTATTATTTGTTCTCTTTCCTTAGTCCTCAGATGCACTTTTGGTGGCTATTGACTCCGAAGTGGTGGGAGCTGTTGACATTCTCCTTAATCACAGGCCAAAAAGATCCTCCAGACCAACCATTGTGGTTAAGTGTTGTTGCTCCTTGATTTTTGATTGGGGCTGTGAAGGCTATTGCTTTTTGGGTGTCTGTAGCATTTAAAACTATGTTCTTAAATTCTGCATCTGTGATAGATGTGATAGAATCTGGACACTAGGAATTATATTTATAATCTTTTTTTGTCTTGAAAGTTGAAATACATTCTTTTTCTTTGTCACGTAAGGAGTCCAGTGGCTTTATACCTACCAAACACATGGCTAGTTCAGAAGAGAAAAAAAATAATGGTTATAAATTTTTCTAATAGTCAGTTTGTGAGGTAGCTAGCAGCATTGGCTTWAAAAGGGTTTATTCATGTATTGAAGCTTCATAGATTTTTATAKCAAATCTATAAACATCAGACCTTCACCTTGAAATCAATCAGTTGAAACTTACCTTGTCACTGCTTAAGTACCAAAGAACTTTTGAAAGCACAAAGTAGAGGTGAAGGGAGGGAAGGAATAATGTGCTGTGTAACGGAGTATGGGACATTCAGGGTATTTTTTCTGCACTTCAATAGTAAATACAATAATTTTTTTCACAAACTAGAGCAAAATMATGATTTTTAATATCACATGTATATTGGAAAAATAGTCAGTATTCCTATGTAAATTAACAAAAAAAGGATCTGAGTCTGTTACTCTTTTTCAGTATTTATCTGACAGGTGTTTCAATGTCATTACATATTTTATCCTTTTTTCACATTATGAAACATTGGAAAGTTTAGAAGGAGAAATCATGATTGGATAGTCAGAAAAAACCCTTACATGTGGTAGAACTCTAGGTAATAAATTTAGATACTTCCTACATTTCATTCCAGAAATTAATGGAACGCATTCAGAACCCAGAGTACTCAACAACCATGGATGTGGCACCAGTAATTTTAGCTGCTCATCGTAACAACTATGAAATTCTCACCATGCTGTTGAAGCAAGACATATCATTACCCAAACCTCATGCTGTGGGCTGTGAGTGCACACTGTGCACTGCCAAGAACAAAAAAGACAGCCTGCGACATTCCAGGTAAGACTAAGCAGTCACAGGCCGTAATAAAAATATTCTTAATTCTCTGGCATTGCTTGGGTCAGATTCAGTATGTTTCCTTTTTTTTTTTAAGGTGAAGCTTATGAGTGGATTCCCTTAACACATTGAGGCCCTTGTTGTGAGAGGTGGTTGTTCTTGGGAATGGGTCATGCCTGAAAAGGCTGGTGGGAGGCAGTGGCTGTTTGTCCATTTTGGTTTTATGCTCATAGTCACTGTGCATGATCACTATGTGCCTTTCCTTTCCTTTCCAGCAGGTCTGTCTCAAACATTCTAGCCACCCTTGGCTTGGGGCCATAGAGTCTATACAAATAAAATTTTCGTGAGCCAGAATGAGGGAGCCAATAATTCTGTATCCTGTCTCTAAAAGTGTTTATGTAATATGGATTGATGAATGCAAACTAAAGACAATTTTTTTTTTCCTTCAGTATTTTTTTTTTGAAAGTGGAAAACTTTTTAATAAAGCTTCAAATGAGGAGAGGGATTTAGCAATCTGATATATATTTTGTGTGGTTAACTTGAGAACGTATTTGAGGGTTGAATAAAATTTAATCTGWGAGAGTTGGGATGAAAAGTTTAAATATCGTAAGTGTACTGCAATTATAATATGCAATTAATTAATGCGTAATTACTCCAATCTGTATCCAATATAATAAAAAATAAGAGAAGTGAAAGAATATGGTTTTTTGGTATTGTGCCACTATGGGCCACACGCTGGTACACATCCTATACTCCATATCATTAACTTAAATATGAAAAACATGTCAGAGTATCCAAAGCAGACAAGAAATAGCAATGTTTGAGATAACAGCTCTTAATTTAATCTAGAACTTCTGCTGATATACTGATAACAGTGGAAGTAGTGAGGAAAAGAAGAAGGAATCAGTTTGGCYAATTTTGGATACTTAGGAGTTCTAAATATGTCATGTACCTTCCAGGACATTCTGCATTTAATGCTTGTAGTGTCTGATTTTAACAAACCAAATTGTTGTGTCTTCCAGCTGACCATTTTAGCCAAACCTTTGGAACAAGTTCTGATTTGAAGTTGCTAATGAAATGAAACATTTTCATTTTTCTTGCTGTTCTTTTGTCACAGGTTTCGTCTTGACATTTATCGGTGTTTGGCCAGTCCTGCCTTAATAATGTTGACRGAGGAGGATCCAATCCTACGAGCTTTTGAACTTAGTGCAGACTTGAAGGAATTAAGCCTTGTTGAGGTTGAGTTCAGGTAAGAGTTGAAAACACAAATAAATTTAAATATTTTTATGAAATTATGCATGTAGAAATATGTATGCATTAGAAAAGGTTTATTCTTGATTTTTTGCAAGTGGAGTGTTTAAATTAGATGAAATAAGCTATATAATTTATGCCTCACTAGTAGTAATTTTGACAATTTAATTACATTAAATCTTTTTAGGTGTAGACATTTCAATGCATGTAGTTGCACCAGCAGTTCAAATTTCAGTTCCACTCTGTAAAAATGAACAGAAAGTATGCTAAATGGTGACTTATTTGAAAATCACACACTTGTTAATCATACCCATATCTCATTAGTACTCTGCTTTTCTTTTCTGTATCARAAATATGCAATATTTTGTTTATACTGACCTGTCTCATGTTAAGAGTTGTTTTGAGTATTGTTTCTTAATTTTGCTCCTTATAAGACTTCAAAGAGCACGTGTGTGTATGTRTGGTTACATATATATGTGTATATATTTAAAATAYRYRTATGTGTGTAGGAGAYTTCATGCTGAAAATGCTCTATATGATGAACAAATGCTCAGTATAATTTCATGTTTGAACAATGCAGATTTCTACCATTTTGTAACTWACCAGCACAAAAGCTTTCCAAGAATGTGAAAGCAAGTGTTTATATGAGGTGAAATTCTAYTTTCCTAAACAATATGTGAGTTTTCYGCATTTTAGCTGCTTATCTTTCTTAGTAAAAGTTCAATTGTTGTATTTTTGTGATACAACTTGGCATTAAAATTGACTCTGTGCAAGATAAGACAAGAAAATAATGTAGTTTCTTTTCATGTATTTAATATATTAATGCATAATATTTAGTATTTAGACTTTAATTTTCAGATAAATGCAGGAATAAAGCAGAACCTAAACAATTTTCCATCCAATTGGAAAGTCCAAGTGATTACTTACCAGTGCATATTTTGTGACTACTAGACTTTGTCATCTCCTGGAAATAACTCTAAGCTTTAACTCTGTGTATGGAACTCACAAGATAAGAATTTGTGTACTGTAAGACTGTTTGTCAGATTTTCCCTAGTGATCTTGCAAGGTGAACTGAAATGTAATTGTCATGTTCCAYGGTGAAAGCTACTCAGGGTTGTGTTAGGAATGCTTGGACCTTGATACAGGACTTTTGGGGTGGTGTTTTTAAAATTTTTCWGAACATACAGTCCCAACAAAAGATGGCTAGTTCATGATTTAATAAATATAGGACCAGTGTTATAGTGCATGTTTGTTCTGTGTCTTTCAGAAATGATTATGAGGAGCTGGCTCAACAGTGCAAAACCTTTGCTAAAGATTTGCTTGCACAAGCACGGAATTCTCGGGAGCTGGAAGTGATTCTGAATCACACCTCCAGTGATGAACACGTAGACAAGCGAGGATTRTTGGAAGAGAGGATGAACTTAAGCCGCTTAAAACTTGCAATCAAGTATAATCAAAAAGAGGTTTGTCTTTGCAGTAACTTGATAGACTTTCCATATCATATTTTGCTAGTAATTAACTTAATTTGTTGTTCTGCCTCTGGTCACAGAAGTGGAATTAAATTTGCARGAGTTACAGAAGAGATGGTAATACACAGGGTATCTGTATGTGAAACAGGGATGCTGCAAGATACTGTGTGTTTCTTCAGTGTTTACTGTGGAGATGAATGTTATRTTTTCTGTATTGGAGTGTAGGCCATGGTGTTTTTATGAACAGCTCTGGTAATGGTAATTACTTGTTCAGATCCTCATTAAGTCCTTGCCTACAGAGGCATGGATCCTTAGGTGCCAAACATGATTTATCATCTTCTCACTGGTCATTAACTGTTCAGTTTTGTCTCAGGCTTTGCCTGTGTTATTCAGTAATTAGGCTGGACCTGTGATGGTATAACTGAATAGCCCCTCTGTTCCAGAATAGCAGCACTTTTTATGTCATCAGTATGCAGCTTCCTCCATGCAGCAGGTTATTGTCATCTTTGTTCCTTCATAAATTATAACTAGTTTTCTGTGCTGGAGGGCAAAAAGGTATTTGTGGGATTCTAATATCAAGGACAGAGTGGAAGTTTCTTTTTCATGCAAAATCCATTTTTAGTCAGTTAGCAAAAGCAATTCTATCTGTTCTACATGTCTAGGCTTAACTGAACTGTTGAAATACATAGCATTTGAAAGTCGTAATCTATAGTTCTGGAATGCCCTACAAGCAGCATTTCACATTACTGGTATGCATTCATCAAGCAGACKGAAGTATTTCAGGTGTTCTCTGGGTTTGAGCATAGCTTGTTTTTATTATAGGGTTTGGAAAATAACAGCTTTTTTGTGTGGTATGAGGAAAATATCTGCAGAATGTGTTTTAGTCCTAACAAGATTACTGTAGAGACAGTTTTTGTGATGCTTTATAAAGTGTATTAACAGCAAGGTTCTTTKTGTTGGTATTTTTTCAACTAAATGACAAACCATTCTGTGATGAATTACTGAAATACATTCTTTTATAACTCTGAGGTGTGATGTTTATATGCTAGATTTCTAAATAATTAGAAATCAAAACTAATYCTTAACCTGAAAACCATTAGAAGTCTAGTGTATATAATTTATGTTTAGTTGCTGGTTCTAGAAGGAAATTAAAGGAACAGATGTTTATGTTCATAGTGGGTCCATAGTGATTTTAGTCTCTTACRAGATAATTATTTCAAGTTAATGTTCTTGACTTTTCCTGTTAAWTGGTAGTTACATATAGGTAAAAAATTAATTTTAATGATGTAACTTAATAATGTGCATTAAGAAACCTGAGACTGATTCCTGTTTGTTTCCCCCSTCTCCATCACCCCCAGTTTGTTGCCCAGTCCAACTGCCAGCAGTTTCTCAACACGGTGTGGTTCGGGCAGATGGCCGGCTATCGGCGCAAGCACACCTGCAAGAAGATCCTGACTGTTCTGATGGTTGGCATTTTCTGGCCAGTTCTGTCCCTGTGTTATTTGTTAGCTCCTAAATCTCGAGTAGGTCGAATAATTCATACTCCTTTTATGAAGTTTATTATTCACGGAGCTTCATATTTCACATTTCTGTTATTGCTTAATTTGTACTCCCTTGTCTACAATGAGAATAAGAAGAATACAATGGGACCAGCCCTTGAGAGAATAGACTATCTTCTGATAATATGGCTTATTGGTAGGTATGATTTGCTAAATACAAAATTATCAGTTTAGTGGTACATCAGCAATAAGTAATAATTCAGTCWTTCATGACCAGTTCTGTAATGCTTGATTTGAAAAGTAGTTAATTATGAAATTTGGACTTGCTGCAGAGCTGGCACATGGTTTAAAGATAAAAGTATGTGYTGTGTATGTTTATGTATGCGTGCTCCATCTTAGTCTAACACATTTAAGGTGTGCATTTACCTCATGCTTGTTTCAAAACACAAAACCAAGTATTATTTCCCCATGTTATGGATTTCTATTTCTGTGTGTCATTGTCACTGATTATCGTAAGTGTACCAGAAAGGATGCATGTCACTTCTGGTTGATGCAGCAGAGGGAGCACAGGTATAATTYTTGTTGAGTTCTCAAGAACTTCTGATTGCAAATTCATCAAACCTTTTGCATTGTCATTGGTTGTCTAGCATGTGTTTAGTTTTACGTTAAATTTACCTTCATTAGATATGTATCATTTGTTTCTTAGGACTTGTAAAAAACAGTGATATAGTAAAAAATAGCACTATTTTTATGTTAAAATGCTTTCTAAAAATCATTGTCAAAATGGGCACAGCAGAATTTCYAACACTTCAGGCTACTAGCAAGGTTTTATTGTTCTGGATAAACTTTCAAAATCATGAATACAGTAATTCCGTTTTCTAGGTTGAGCCTAAATCATGCAAGTGTCTTTCACAGGAAAATAAMGCAACAGAACTCCAGTTCTTGTGTGTGTAAATAGCATCTTCTTCTCCATTTCCTTTTACTGATTCCATAACAAATTTAATGGAAAATACATGTTGATCATATGTAAAATAATATCCATTCAGTACAATGGCTTCACTTCCCTGGGTTTGTTTTTTTTTTTTCCTGCAGGAATGGTGTGGTCAGATGTTAAGAGGCTCTGGTATGATGGTTTAGAAGATTTTTTAGAAGAATCCCGTAATCAGCTTAGTTTTGTCATGAATTCCCTGTATTTGGCAACTTTTGCCCTCAAAGTTGTTGCTCATAACAAGGTAAGCTCCAATCTTCATAGATCCGAAGCTCCTCTGGGGCTGACAGAGCAAATATGATTTTAGTGTATTGCTGCAAAATAGAATGTTAGTAGTAGGTGTTATGGTTAAGTGTACAACATTGGTAAAAGCCTACGATGTGGGTGGAGGGTAAGTTTTGGTCTTAAATGCTCTGTGTGGTATYGGCCATGGAGTTGTCAAGATCTCAGGTCTTGTTGCCCCTTGGTCATGAAGGAGCAGTTATTGAGGCGAATACAAGTTAGAAAACATCAAAATCTGTCCAAATACTTGGAAACCCCAGAGCTACTGTCTTGTAAGAACTGGCTGGTCTTCCAAATGGTTTGATTTTTGTTTCAGGAAATGCATCTCATCAGATTTGACATTTGAGCTCGCCTGATTCCATAAATCAGCACTATGCAGAAAGCTAACAGTGTTCTCTGTGTTTGGATGGCCTAATGCCTTTTTGTTACAGAAAGTTTTATTTAGCTTTTGATTACATATATTCAAATGTTCTAAATGGTGTTGGGGGGGGGGGGGGGCAGGATTTCTAGTTGGTTTTTTTTCTGCTTGGTGGTGGGTTTTTATCCTTGGAGTTTTCTTTGGTAAGGATAAAAGCCCTGGAACCATAGAGGAGTCTTGTCTTGTCTCTATGAAAAGCCATCTGGATTTGATTGAAAATACGAGTTTTGAAAACGATCGTTGCCATTCGGTTGATGTGTTGTTAACCACACAGCACATGGCAAACTGCCAGACCAATTGAATGTGAGTATTTCAGCAAAATCCAAGCCACTGTAGTAGCACCATTAGTGTGTCTTGCAAACTCTAAGTTGACAGCTGTCTGGCAGTTGGGAGGGAAATAAAGTGGTTCAGTTCTTCCCAACTTGGTGTTTGGCTCATTTCCCTATCCTAGCATTGATTCAGAGGCTGGTAATCATTTGGAAAGGAAGGCTCCATTTCTTGGAAAAAAACAGACAGAATGCCGCATTGGGCTGCCTCCCCAGCCATTTGCTTTGCAACTAGGGTGTCTCCAGTAGTAGTTCCTTTGCTGACATGAGAGCCCTTTGCTGCCAATTTAAATTGTAACCTTTTTGAAGATGCAGGACTCCTGTGCTATATAATAGGCATATAATGGAGGGGCTCCTCTTTCGTGTGGCAAAATTCAGTTTATAAATAATTTAGAAAACCAAATAAAAGTGTTCAGTTTGCATCTTAGGTCCATTATAGGCACTGAAGCTGTAAGAAATAAAGGAAGAGTGTTTGTGGCAGAAGGATTTGTACACATGTAATTGCAGYGTATAAAAAAATATGTATCCCTATTTCTTGCCATCTTTGTGCAGCAAACCTTTGGACAAGTTATTATAAAGCGGCTTGGAGTTCCTTAGTTTTTGAATGTCCATTTTGAGACAGCAGAGGTTGGTAATATAAATGCTGAATGTTTTCAGCCAAACTGAAAGTTAGRGATCTATGGATATTCCCTGAGTAAGTTGAATAGTAACACTTACCCACTTGAAGTGGATAATACTTCAAGCAGSAGTTTACTTGTGACTCCCATTCTCTGTAGCCATTCATAAAATCTGTTGAAGTAACCCCAAGTCATATGTCTTTCTAAAACTGGTTAAGATCAGCTGTCACCACATTGCAATGCCATGTGTTTGTTAGTTTTTGTTGTAGCATTTCAGTGTTATTTTTGACTGAGGCCTATTATATGAGGCACATGTTTGTAAAAGTGCGTAAGTCCCTGTTTCAGTAGACTGCAAAACGGAGTAGAAGTGAAAGCAGAACAGAGGAAGAAATGGTTTGAACAAGTGAGTGGCCRACTTAGGTGTTGAGTTTAAATTGTCTGATTTCTGGCTCCCTCTGGAATGGCTTTTAAAATGCCTTTGTCCAAAAGAGGTAAGACATCAATGAGAGATATATGTTACTTTATTTTATGTTGTTGCCTGTTTTGGAAGCAGAAGTAGGGAGTGGTGTAAGGGTACATTTGTGTATTTATATTGTCAGTGCTCTCAGTTTGTCCTTTTTATGTTGCAGTTTCATGATTATGCTGAAAGGAAGGACTGGGATGCATTCCATCCTACCCTAGTGGCAGAAGGCCTTTTTGCCTTTGCTAACGTTCTTAGTTACCTGCGTCTCTTCTTCATGTATACAACCAGCTCCATTCTGGGACCACTCCAGGTGAATATCATTACTGCTTGAAAAAAACACCTAATTTACTATCAAGAGTCTTACTGAAAACAGGAAAACAAAATGTTGAAGTAAGAAAGTGAGAAGTAGGAAAAAGAGATACTGCATTGAAGTTCGATTCTTTTTTAGTTAATCTCTTGTGTAAAACRTACTGATTTAGATGGGAGAAGGTGAGAATAAGTGTAAAAGACCTTGTGTAGTTCAGTTWAAGTATATTTCCATTCTAGCTGTACCTATACTGTCCTTTTTCTTTCATCTGTTTTAAGCTTAACATACTGCCTAAGTTTTCACAGTTTGAAAATGTAAGGATCAGGTTCTTCCTGTAAAGTTTTATGCAAATAATTGCCTTAGCTTCTTATCTCTAAAGAGCTGGATGAATGAAGGATGTAGCAAGGAAGAGTAATCAAGAGCCGTTCTGCTTATGTCTGTGATCTCATTGAAGCTGCATGTTGAGTTACGCAAATTGCTTTTGTTTGAAAAATAAAAATCTCTCAGCAGTATTGAAATAGTTATCTGTTTATTGGCAGTTGTAAGAAGGGAGAACAGGTTTCTTCTTGGAATTTGTTGGAGCCTTTGTGAGTAATAATGACAGTAAAGCCTCCCACATTTTAATKATCTAATTTTGTGTTATACATTTTAAATGGAAGTGTACTTGCACACTTAGAAAAAAATACTAAAATCTTGATGTTGCATTAAGCATTAGAGTTGTACAGATTGATTGAACACTAAAGTCTCTCCACATTTTAAAGAGATTCACTGTTTAATGTGYGTATTTATTTATGTACTAGATCTTTCACAAGTTTTTTATTAGAAGGCTGTGTTACGAAATTTTCCAAGTAAATAAAAACAGTCAACAGTCACCCCATTCAGAGGCACACAGCAGCYTATGTTATTACTGCTGGCCAGTAGGGCTGGTGCAACAACTCCTACAGTATTTTCTGAAAGTAGGTCACAAAGTTCAAATGGTGGTAATCAAATATGGCATGGAAACCCAGCAGTGGGGGGGGCGGGGTTGGGGAAGGGGGGGGGGGGGGGGGGTTGGGGAAAGGCAGCTACCATGTTCTCTAGGCTCTTAGAGTTATTTTTAAGCATTCAGTTACTTGACTCATTGGTTAATAAAACCTGTTGTAATCCAGATTTGTAAATTGGCTGTGTGTGGTGGTTTTTATTATTAACAGAAGGTAGAATAATACTCCTTCTTATAGTATAGATAATYAGATTTCAAATGCTTTGAAATTGCAAATATTTAAGAGATGGGAAGCATGAATAGATGAAGAAAGCAACTGGCATTTGGGATAGGTTATTACACTCTTTTCAGAACAAAATAGTTTTGGGCAGTTTGCACTTTTTGAGCGTTCCTGTTTYATTGACTTCATCTCCTGACCTTGAGCTTTGTTTAGCATATCAAAAATTAGGTATTTAAAATTTAAATAGATTTTTTGTTGATCAAAGGCTRAAGGATAGAATWCAAATAAAAATAACTCCATGTATTACTAAAATTAGAAATTAATCTGTTTCACAGATTTCAATGGGGCAGATGCTACAGGATTTTGGAAAATTTCTGGGCATGTTTCTTCTTGTCTTGTTCTCATTCACAATTGGATTGACACAACTTTATGATAAAGGATTTACTGTAAATGAAGAAAAGGACTGTGCGGGCATTTTCTGTGAACAACAGAGCAATGACACATTCCATTCRTGAGTTTGATACCTATGAAATAACTGTCATGTTTTAGCCCTTAATCCCTAGTAATTAAACAAACCTGGATTTTTTTCACTGAACTTCAATTTAMATTAAGCACTTTTGCTGTTGGCTTTACCCAACCAGATTTTTTTCCTTCTTTTTGTAGGTTTATTGGTACATGCTTTGCTCTGTTCTGGTACATATTCTCCCTGGCACATGTAGCAATCTTYGTGACACGTTTTAGCTACGGTGAAGAATTACAGTCTTTTGTRGGAGCTGTTATTGTTGGGACCTAYAATGTGGTGGTTGTGATAGTATTAACTAAACTCCTTGTGGCAATGCTTCACAAAAGTTTTCAGCTGATAGCAGTAAGTGTTTTTTGATTGATTACCAATAATTGCTAGCTGTATCTTTGGATTTTAYGCTAATTTCTTCCTATGATGTGTTGACTAATTACAGACATTATGGAGGAGCTCTGCTTGTGAGTTCATATTTTTCCTTCAAATAGGAACTTTTTACTTASTTTGATCAAAAAGAAAAGTGTAATTTCCATGTTGAATCTATGCAGGGCTTTGGCCCACTGGGACTTTCTTGATCCAATGGCTATTCAAATGTTGGTTTGACATGTGTGGTGCTTCAGCATTTGAYTGGGAATGATACCTTCTGAATTTTATACTAGAGTGTATGTAGTGAATTGAAGAAAGATGGACTTATTTTAAGTGTTTAATACCAGAATATTCAACCAAGCTTATTAAAGTACTCTATCTATTAAATTGCTATATAGCCAAAATTAAATAATGGTCAGTTTTCTGAGTATGAGAAAATAAAACTTACAAAAGAACCCTTTACAAAATAACCTTTTAATAATTTTCTTCTTTTCTCTGTTAATGTTTCTGCTGTTTTAGAATCATGAAGATAAGGAGTGGAAGTTTGCTCGTGCCAAGCTTTGGCTTAGCTACTTCGATGACAAATGCACGCTCCCCCCACCTTTCAATGTTATACCCTCTCCCAAAACCATCTGTTACCTTTTCAACAGTCTCAGTAAATGGATTTGCTCTCATACATCAAGTGGCAAAGTGAAACGTCAGAACAGCCTAAAGGTGAGGAATGACTGGGAAAGCTCTAGGCTCTGCAGCTGGAAAGGTGCTGCTTGCTGAAATGATTTAGCAGATTGCTGCATGAAGCTGCCCATCAGAAGGTGAATGCTACTAAGATAAATAGGAACTACAGAATAATGTGTGTGGCATCCAAAATAAATAAGTGTTACTTATTTCTACTTAAGTGAGGTTCTATTAGTCTTCTGGTTTGGGAATTTCAACCCCTTTCCCTCCAACCCCCAACTCCCCCAGAAATAGTCCGGAAAAAATGCTTTGATTGAATGAAAACACATCGAAACCTCAAGGAAGTACGTGCTAATCTCAAAAATTGTGAGGTTAGAATATTTGGAAAAGGTAATTGGTTTTAAACATGTTGCAGAAGTGTCAGAATAAATAACCAAAAAAAGATCGCTGAAGCCTCTCATTGTGGGAGAGGGATTTTTTGTTTGTTTTATAAATATTTTTTTGTACCCTGCAATTTTGCATACTAATTTTGTATCTTCTTGCTGACAAAAATAGTGTTTAATAAATAAATAAATTTAAACACGTTAAGGAATTTGCACTGAGAGACATTCAGGGTTGTGAAATTCTTAATTGCTCACAGAATAGTTACCAAGACAGGTAGATAAAAATTTTCAGTTTTGCTGAAACTATAATCAGCAGATTATAATCTAATTTGAATTTCGTGGATAATTTATATGCATTGTATATTTGTGCACATCAGGATGTATTTATAAAATAGCTTTGATATTTTGTTCATGTTTATTCTCTGTAGAATTGTATACAGGATTTAGGGCTCAAAAAGCACTTCTATGGTAAATGTGTGATGTTTGTTTAAAGGAATGGAGAAATCTGAAGCAGAAGAGAGATGAGAATTACCAAAAGGTGATGTGTTGCTTAGTCCACCGTTACTTGACTTCCATGAGACAGAAGATGCAAAGTACAGATCAGGCCACTGTGGAAAACCTCAATGAACTGCGGCAGGACTTGTCAAAATTCCGGAACGAAATGAGAGACCTGCTTGGCTTTCGAACTTCTAAATATGCTATGTTTTATCCAAGAAACTAAGGCCTAACTTTTAAACAAAAGGTGTGTGGTTTTAGATATCCATAGGTGAAAGTGTTGACTTACTTCTTTTGCCAGATCATATAGACAAGGAGATTATTGCACAAAAATACATTTGAAAATGCACTTGCATGAGTTGCAGCTCGATGCCCAAGKGGTCAAAATAAATGCAAAAACAAATACACTGATTTTCTTAACCTCCTATTCTTGATGTGTATATGAAATTTGTATATAGGAGTTTTCTAAATGTTTCTCAGACTGCAGCTGTCAGTTGTCAGAGCTTCATAACTAGCACAATGTGTTTCTTTCTTCTATTTTTGCTGTTTGTTCTTTTTTTATACTTGTTTTTCAAGTTGTGGGATAAGATAGGCTTTTTAAAATAAAAATCCAGCCTATGTTTATTTTAATAGAAAAGTCAGATAAAGAGTATAGAAGATTTCCAGCACAGTTGGAAATTATGTATGACTGTAGGTTACAGTGCATGTGAAGACTGTACGGCTCTGAAAGAGGCAGTTCTAGTTTTGTATGTTAACATTGACTGTAAACTAACATTTAYAGAATGCAGCAAATCAAATCATCAAGACTTTTCAGTTTTGTGGGARCATGGACATTTTGAACACAAAATAGACCAACCATTTCTTGAATGTTTGTGGTTATGTGTAAGACAATCAAACGCTGCTTGGATTTTTCAGCAGTGCCTCAATAGTACATTTTAATATACATGTAAGGATTGGGAACAGCATTTTAAGACTAACCTGTGAGTATTTAATATCTTGGGGTTTTAAATTGTGGATGAATTATTGAATGATTAAAACCTGTGATTTAATGAAAATGAGGTGGAGCACATGAGTGCTATTGTTWGCAGTGCTGAACAATTCCTGTGAAACATTCTACACTTCCTTCTGTGAGGTCATTGAGTCTTGTCATTGGAAGGGTCTGCTTGACGCAGGTATTACGTATCCTACTTTCAAATTAGTTTTTATTTTTTCCTGTTTTTTACGAGAATTGTTGCCAAGCTAAATTTTTTTTTGAGTGTGTCAAGAATACTGTGTTTTGTGAAAACATTTTTTTTGCTTACAATGGACAGTAAGGGCTTTGTGGATTTTCTGTGCTAGAGAGTCCTATATGGCTTTATATGCTTATATATAATTCAAGCTGACAAACTGTAATTGAGAAATGTGAGATTTCTGTATTTTTAATTACAAAGTAAGTATATTTATGACAGCTARAGGATTGATTGACAGTTTTACTGTTAAGATGGTGCTCTTCTAAAATGTTCAGAAGGCGCAGGTAGCCATAGTGGTCTTTGACTGCAGTTGATTTTGGGAGATGGATAGAGTGGAGGCTTACATGAATGTTTACTTTTTTGAAGGAATTCTTATAAAACTCTTTCTTGTAAAGGTAATATATTTTCCGTACTATGAAATTATGTATTTCTGAACTAGGTTTTAATACTCTGTTTCCAGAAGCGTTACAGTATAGGGGGATTCTGATATGTGTTGGTTTTTCATGGGAATAGGAAGTTAAACTCCTAGTTCAGAGCAGAGAGGATCACTGAGTTTTGTATTAGGACTCAGGTCTCATGTTTGAATAATGCACCAACATAAAAACTATGTGCTGTGTATGTTATGTATGTTCAAGAAAGGAAGCAAATAAAAGCTCTTTGAAAAATATGGTTGTATTAATTTTGGTCATAGTGCAAACACATTTTATCAGTTACCACATTGAAAGTATTTTCTTTTGTCATCTTGAGGTAGTAAGTTTAAGGAAGGTAGCTGGTGTTAATGTGTTACTGCCTTTTTCTTTCTGGAACCCATCCTGTTTGGTTCATTGRAATGGCTTCATGCAATGCCATGAARTGATGCTGGTTCCAGACCAGCTGGGTTTGATCCTGCATGCATTATCAGATGTTTGGCACCGGAAGGTTGGTTCRGGCAGCCTGGGGGTGTTGAGAGTATGAATGAAGGAGCTGATGGATCTGTTTCTGAGTGCTCTTCATACATTGATCAGAGGCACGCAGAACTAGCTGCTCACTGTCTTGGGTCACTGCTCTATTACAGTGTAGATATCCTTAAGAAGAATTGTACTTCAAGGCTCTTGGGGGTTTTGGATTGGAACTGGGAGTTCCAGAGTTTTTACTTGGCACTGAAATACAAACCTGTGGAATGAGAGAGACGGAAAGAGAGAAGTTTGTTCTCTCTTAGTTTGTGCTATGAAGAGAGTTTGTCCTATCTTAGTTATATGACACTTTGCATCTTTGTTTTATTTGAAAGCTGCTGTACTCTTCCTATCTACTTGGCTMCTAATCAGTACTGAATGCTTTGTATTCTGTACTCAATTTTGTCTCTTCATTTAGATTTTCCTGGTTCACGTGTGTTACACATGCTATTGTTTTCTCATTTRGCAGTTTAATTGCTGTTCCAAGTTCTCCCTTACACATGATCACAGAATGCAACAGTTCTGGACAGGCACAGAAACAAAACTTCACATGTAAAAAAAAAGCAAAGCTGGAGTTCACTTGGCTATAGGATTCGGAATTTCGTTGTACAAATTTTAGTGCAAGTCATGGAAGTAGGGTTTTTGAGACAACTGGGAAAGGTTGATTTTTCTTCCCTTTCATGTTGATATCTGGTCTTAGAGATAAATGAAAAATGGAGATAAAAATTTTCATACCTGCATTTGCAGCAGGAAGGACAGAATCACMGATTACTGAAAGCTTACTTTATGTTCTTGCTGAACTCTGGTCTTGATTGTTATTTCTGTAGAAATTATTTCAGAAATAGTGTTGTCATGATTTTGATTCTGTTTGGTTGAAAGTTGTATTTCAAATGTTTGAAGTTTGCAGTCACTACAAACTGCCTTTAAAAACTTATAACAGTTGTTAACCTGTTTTCTCAACTCTTACTTTGAGAAAACTGGCACTGCTCCATGTTCCTGTGTTCCCTGTTTCAGGCCTAMTGCCACCAGTGCATTGATTTTGGAAAGGAGCTGGTCTAAACGGAGTGTTTAGAAGAGCAGGCAGGAACTCTCCCTACCTTCCATTTGGTTGATGATGAGTAAGCTGCCAGACCTTTCTTGCCTCACTGAAAAAAAACTGCGTGACAGATGGGCATGTCATCATAAATAAAAATAGATTGTTGTAGTTCAAGACAGCTCCGAGCATGATTTCCACATTGCTTTTCCCCAGGCTGCTGCCAAGAAATGCAGAGAGCACTGTGCATAAAATCCCTTAATCTGCATAGGAATCAAGGCTGGAAAATTAAAATTCCAGTTTAAAAGTTTTAAAATTACAAAACTACATCTGCTTTGTAAACAAATGTTACTGTTGGTTCCACAGAGAAACGCTGTTTGGTTTGGTCAGTCAGGCAATGCAATCATTGAAGTGTGGTTGCAGCACTGAGCTGTWGGATGTGAGCTGCCAGCACAGCGTCTTTGTACCTCTGTGCCCCTCTAATCCTTTTGTCCCCAGCCCAGCTACCCATAAAGTCTTTGGAATAGAGGCTGCTGTGCTGCCGGGCTGCACTGTGGCAGTGCCTCTTGGTATTCCATGTGAGAATCCATCAATGAAGAGAATGGTAATCTGCATTCCACTGCTGGAACAAGCAATGGGTACTTCCAGTAGGGACTGTGTATTTTATTAGTTTCCTGTTCATGGTCACAGATTCCCCACAGAACTCTGGTTCTGGTATTTATATTTTAAGAAAACAAGTACTTAAAGGGATCTTAGATTTATATGCACCTTACCACCACTAAATTAATYCCTACCTTCCTCTACCTGATAACCTTACAGAACTTAACTGTGACATTAACTAACTAGATAGTCATCAGTGGAGAAAAGCATGRTGCTGTTTTACAGTTGTCTAATTCTTTGAAGAATTCCTGTTCAGATCAATGATTCACTGACTTCCATATAAGGAAAATCAAGTCCTTAATCAGCAAGGAAGTGCAGTGTCAGTTATACTGTGCAAGACCCAAACCATCAAAAGCACGTAAAYGATCAAAACCCAGTTTCTGTGTTTAGCTGCCCCACTTTATAAATAATTAATAACTTGTTGATGTATGATTTAATCTGAAAATATTTTATTAAGCACTGATAATAATGCAGAAACCCATGTAATAAAACAACTTAGAGAAAAAGCTAAGTTAAACTGAGTTGCTATAAATATTGCACTTAGAATTTGTATTTTACATACAAAACTCCTTAAWAATTTGGACAATTATAAATTAATGTCTTCCAAGTAATTGGAATTTGTGTATTTGAAATCAGATGGCTGTGCTAAAAATCTTCAGCTTTCAGATTTAGGAGGGTCTGTTCTCATAATGGATTTCACTTTGTGCCAGKTGTGCTTAGGTGGATGGGAGATAAGGAAGGGTCAGCGTGGTCTTGCTGTTGGCAGTCAGTTGCATTTCCATGACTTAGRTTAAGTGAAAATGATTTTTCAGTACAGATGACAGAACGCAGCTGCAGAGTTCAATTTTGACATGTTTTGTTTTTCAAGGCATTTAGGATCTTTGAGTTCTTAGTCTTAAAGCTCATGACAAAGCTGTTGGGAAAGACTTTGCCTCTACCRTCTTCTTCTACCTGGCCCATGATGATGTAGTTCAAACCTATAAARGAGAGAATGAGATTACAAGACAGAAATCTGGGATGTTATTTGGTAAGTATAGTTCTTTATGTGTAGTTTCTGTTCATTTGCACTGAGCTTACCAAGACCTTCTGTAACTTTTTCCTTCCTACCTGCAGCATTTGCTCCATTATCTGTCTATGCTACACTGCAAAGCACAGTTATATAAAAATTAAGTACATAAACAGCTAATTATCTACTTTAGAATTAAATATATAGGGTGTATATATATATATATATGTAATATTATATACGGGATATATATAGATATATATATATATATTATATATATATATATTATATAATATATAGGGGAGTCTTTAAATGTAGACAGTCAAGTGAGTCTGAAAGACACTAGAAGTGCAGTATAAACACTGGATAGCCTAACCACTATCACCCAGAGAGGAATGTGTCTCATTAATTTTGTCTGTTTTCACACTTGCTCTGCTTSTACATTTATGCCCTTGAGCGACAATG